TAAGGATTTTCGACAGGCCAATTTTAAAATACAAAAAAATAATAATATATATTGTAATTGTTCAAACATTAAGAATGTTGTGTACACATAATTTAAAATTTTAATATGAATTTAAGTAATTTTAGTGTTTTTTTTATCATGAATTGGCCGTAGCCTTAAAAAATGTCATGTGGTGCGACCATGATTTATATAAAAATGTATTCATTTCCTTAACATGCTTAACATTTTTTTTTTTTAAATGTAGATGTTCTCAGTAATTAAAGTATTGAGTTTTTGTAAATAATGATCTCATATTTTTGTTCTATAATTGAGAGTTGCCTTCTTAAATGTAGTTAGCAGACTTTTTTCCCTGTAAATTGCATAAAACTGATAAAAATGTTTTAAAAATGCCATTCACTTAAGCATACTGTAGCAGTGATTCATATTTCAACCACAGAAATTAGATATTTTATTTTTAATTTAATACAGTTACTGCTATTATTGGTCGCACCACATGATGAGTGGTCGCTCGAAATGACACAAAAACCTTATATTATTAAAACAATTATTTAAAAAGACATCTGAAAAGTGCAGCACATGGCATTAACTGCAGGCACTTCTTTAGCCCCAGTTATTTCAGAACTATGCCCAATCTTGGCTGCTAAATTGACCCTTCGTTGGGAGTTTGATTAACATGCGATCTGACCAAATATAACGCCAATTATGACAAACAAACCAGACAGGAGAGTAGACTAATGCCGGTGGAACTTGAAAAATAGTGTGTATTGACGTCCTTTCACGGTTGAAACAAGATACCATCTGATGATCATTCATGTTTATTTCGTACTATAACTAGTAAAGATGAAGAGATGATCAGTTCATGTTCCGCTTGAACTGAGGCACTACAGCGATTTGTCAAGACACATTAAAGAGCCACAAAACACTATTTGTTGATATAATTTCTTTAAAAAACAAAAAGACAAAATTTGAACTCTGATATTTCACAATATTACTGTTTTTACTCTATTTTTGACCAAATAAATGCAGCCTTGGTGAGCATAGGATACTAAAAACGTTACTTACATATGTGTATTTTTATATAACAGTGTTTTTTTTTTTAGTCAGATGGATGCAAACCAAAAGATAAAATTAGTCATAACAAATGGTCATGTCTGGCATGAGTG